TCCTTGTGTGTCCATACGGGGAAAGACTTATCTATTCAATATGGTATCACTTGAAAGCGTAGAAATCATTAATAGATTTAATGTTCTTATATAAGTTTTTTAGGAACAGAATTGACTTTATCAGCTACTAAGATATTTAATTTTCGATTGCCCGTACACTATTATCTAGTTATGTATCAATGTTATAAGTAATGTCTGTATTTTCCGTAGAATTGTTCTTTAACTGATACTGACCACGTTGTTGAATGATTGCAAAAAGCACTTAAATACAAAAAGGGATAAAAAAATAGGAAAGCATTACAGTTAATAGTAAGATAAAAAATTATGTGAAGCAATCATCTACTGAATCTAAAAACTATACCAATTGTCAAATACTTCAAGAGATTGTTATACGAAATATTATTGTTTTTGTTAATTAGATTAATGTGTTTCACTTTAAAATGATTGTACACTAAGTATAAATTGACGGTAATTTAAATTTTAAATCTTATCAATGTAAAATTACTATTGACCAAATAAATTAAAATAAAATTAAAATAAAAACTAGAGCAGTGCTTTTAACGTTTGTTTAAAAAAAGTTTATAAATATCACTGTCTAGTAAGATGTCCAACAAATCATAATACCGAGCCAATGATTACAAAAAAAAACTTTTTTCATATAAATAACACGGCTAATTTAATCATTGATCGTGATAGAATTATAAACTATAAGAACTTATGACAAGTATATATTATTGCGTCGAAAATAAGGGAAATACATAGTGAGACTACAGAATGGGGTTCTTCAAAAATGGGGTAAAGAGGTTTCTTCAGGGTTGCCAACGCGCGCGTAATACCTGTAGGCGTTCATAGGCTACGGTAACCGCTTACCATCTGCAGGTCTACTCTTGAATCTAATATCAATACAATCAATATAAATGACAGTTTTATACTGCACTCATGAAACAACAGTTAGGAATTAGGTTATAACTGGTTATCATTATTAAATTATTTATAAGTTATAATTATTAAATAATAAATGTCACAAAATTAAAAGAGGACCGATATGAAAGCAAACCTTATTGACTGCGAAAAAAGAACCTTGTTTTATTCAAAATTTTTTTTTTTTTTTTTACAACTTAGAATGGCGAAAAAAGAACCTCGCCTTCTGATTGGACATAAAGAGTATACTGTTTCGCCCATGATACCTCCCATGCGTTGCCATTCCTGAGGCTCAGGTGTTATTCCTCTGTACCCAGTAAATTCACGCCATATCCCATTTTCAAACCGAAACACAGTTATGCAAACACAACTGCTTCACGGTTGAAACACGAATGGGACAGAGGTACCCAAGCAATCGACTTTTGTACAAAGTCTCCCTCTGGTTTTATTATCATCATATTAGTCATCATCTGTCCGCTGCTGAACATATACCTTCCCCGGACACCCCACAAGAAGGGAAAGGTTAGTCTAATCCACGTCGGGACGTGTGGCTTAAAAGTGAGTTAAACATAATTAATTCCATCAATTCGGAACAGTGTTTCATAACTTTTTTTCTGCGTTTAACATGATGATTTTGTCAGCAAATAAGTATATTTTTCTACTTAACTAAATTACTTTTTTACTCTGTTATCTATAAAAAAATAAACTTTTTATTCAAGGATCTTTTCCTCAGTTGAGATTGCATTCCTAACTGGATATTGGAATAAAACAACATACAAAATTAAGTTTATTTTCCGATCTCAAATCACAATATACAATAATGAGTAAAAATCAAATAAAACACGTTAATATAAGTTCACTACACCTAACAGTAACGCTTCGCAGTTTAGTAGACAGGTTAGACACATGCTACGACTGATATAAACATAATTTGTCAACGTCCGGCAAAACTCGTTGTGTACGAAAAAAAAATAATCGGCCGCGTGAACTGAAGTCGTGCGGGTGAGTCGGCATCACGAGCAATAGTTGACAGAGAACTAATTGTTTGTAATTAAGCGAAGCTAATTGAAATTTTTAATCTTAAAATAATTTTAAACTTTTTCATATAAATACTAGAATATATTAAACTAGCGACCCGCCGCGGCTTCGCACGGGTGCAATGCAGCACCGCTATGTCCCTGCATTTTAAATCTGTAATATCTTCGAAAATATTCATTTAAATTACATGCTGTAAAGAGTCATATTGATCTATATTAAATGGACAATGTATTTAAGGTACTAAATTGGATAAAAATTAATGCTATATTGTTTAAAATCACTTCGTAAGTAAGCCATTTTTCCCCGTAAAATGTAAAGGCTAAAAATGATTATTGTGGGTTATCCTTAAGAGATAGACATATACCATCGCAGACTTTTTTGTTGACCTTTTTAAGGCGTACAATACTGTAGTACATTACTTTGATTTATCTCGTGGGGTTCGGCCAGCGTTTGCAATGTAGACGCAAAAAATATGTTTTTTTTACGATATCACATTAGAAACCTCTGAACTTATCAGTGTTTCTCTACAATATTATGCATGTATTATACATATAAACCTTCCTCTTGAATCACTCTATCTATTAAAAAAACCGATTCAAAATCCGTTGTGTAGTTTTAAAGATTTAATAGTAATAATTTTACCAGTGGGAGACTTTGTACAAAAGTCGTTTGCTTGGGCACCTCTGTCCCATTCCTGTTTCTATCGTGAAGCAGTTGTGTTTAAATGGCTGTGTTTCGGTTTGAAGGGTGGTAAATGGCAGTGAATTTACAGGGTACAGAGAAATAACACTTGAGTCCTCAGGAATGGCAACGCATGGGGGGTATCATGAGCGAAATAGTATACTCTGTTATGTCCATGGCACTGCACATGTCTAAAGGCGACAGTTACTACTTTCCATCAGGTGAGCCGTCAACTTGTTTGCCATTTTAAGTTATATGAAAAAAATGTAATTCGACCAAAAGACATATATACATTTATATATTAGTTACTTTGTATATATACATCCTTTTACAACGTGACCGAATACCTAAATGCCAATATTGAATTATAGCATTATTATTTATTTAGGTTTAACTGTAAGAACTGTGACAATAAAAATTTTATAACTTGAAATCATCATTATTGTTATATGGTTGCCTTTATATTGACATGTAGTAACTAATTTATAATGTTAACTATAATTCATTTGTAATTTTATTTTTATTTTACAATTTAAATCTTATTGTTATTATTTATTTTATTAATTTCAAAATTATAATGTAAATATTGACTTGCCATTGTGTGACGAAAACTGTTACATTAGTTAATAAAGAAATATGAAATATATATGTCAACATATTTATTATTTCTAAATAGAAACAACTATATTGTTTCCGCCTATAATTGTACGCACACTGCCCGCTAATAATTAATGCTCCTTTCCACTCAGGGTTTGCTGGAAGAGAACTCTTACAGAGTTAAGCTCGCCTGTTGTACATCTTTATTTAATATAAACTATACATATGCTTGTATTTTTTGTGTACAATAAAGTATAAATAAATAAATAAATAAAAATTGTTGACTATATATGTTTTTTTTATACAACTTAGAATGACAAACAAGCTGACGGCCCACCTGATGGAAAGTGGTAATCGTCGCCTATAGACATGAGCAGTACCATGGACATTACAAACTATACTGTTTCGCCCATGATACCCCCCATGCGTTGCCATTCCTGAGAACTCAGGTGTTACTCCTCTGTACCCAGTAAATTCACGACATGTGAAATTTCATGCGAAAATATAAGAAACGAAACATAATGGTGTGTGTACAAAGAAATTGTTTTAATTGACCGCACGTGAACCGGTCAAGATACTTTCATGACGGTTATAGTAAATACCGGTCCGGATAAGGCGGTGTCCCGGTCCGGGGCAAAAAAATGTCGCGCAATACTCGGCTCGCAACTGGAGTTTGCTGTCATAATCGAGACACTTTTTGCTGTTTGAAAAATGGACGACAATTCTTAACAGTACGACGTCCATTTATTTATTTTATTAATACTTCATTGTACACAAAAATTACATTGTTATAATCCACATTAATTGAAGATGTACAACAGGCGAGCTTCACTGTATAATAATTCTCTTTCAACAAACTATAGACTTAACTAGTGACTATTTAATTTTATGTACTTTAATTATTTAATTTTATGGTAACCCCGCCTGCGTTATCGGGATACGCTGACGGGGCACCAGTGAAAGATGATAGGTGAGGATGAAGCAGGTCAGTTAGGCCATCGTGACGAATTCAACAAGAATTGTTCACGGTGGTTTCCAGGGGGAACCACGTGGAGGTCGACCTAATAGGGCATATTGCTAGCAATGGGGCTGTCAAACTCCATTGCTAACAATCCCTTTCCCCCCTAATTTTATGTATTTACATGACATGAAATTTATTGGGATGAATTTTCATTATTGCACTTATTAAAAAAAGGGTTAAAATAGACTGAAAATAGACCTCCTCCATAGACTGCCATAAGGAACGGTCCTAAGCCAAAAGCCAGTCTGGTGTCTAAGATACAAGTTACGACTTAGTTTAGGCTCCAGATCTCCCACAAATTACGATACTTTTCATTTGTATAAAGTAAATAATCTATACATTGTAATTTGTGGAGATGAATAAACTAATTTTATTATTATATATTATATATATTATATATAAATGCATCCACTGACTCCCTGCAAAGCAAACGCAGTGTAGGATGACCTACACTGCGTTTGCTCATACGGGGTCGCGACTCAAAACCTTTCTTCCCTACCGATTGTCAATTCTTTGAGCTATATAACAAACTAATTTAGCTTGCTTATCCTTAGGACTACGTCGGTCACTTTGGTTCGTTTGCGAATATTCTCATTTCCGATTTCATGTAAGTATGGTGCTGCAAACGCCTTAATAATGACACCAATATTAATTTACAAATGAGACATGTCCAAAAGCGGCCGAGTTTTCCACGAGCATGTACACGGCAGGTTGACGTGGGATAGTACGAATAGTCCACTAGCAGTCTACAGCGGGACAAGCAACTGGCTCGGCCAACATTAGTGGATGCTGCAACTCCCGTGAGGACGGACGGCGACCGCGCGCTCTCGCTACGATCACCATTTACGAACTCTTCGAAAAAAGTTTTCGACTCTTTTCTCTGCAAACTTTTTTAGATTAGAAGTAATAAAAACAGTTTTTCTGTAATTATTTGTGGACATCGGTGTTAGTGTTTGTGCGTGTGAATTGTTGTTGAAGTTTTATAGGTAAATAAGTTTTTTATTTTATTTTAAACTTTTATAAATGTTTTATTCATGTTCTTTTCTATCATAATTTTTTTAAATATGAACACAAAAATAATTTCGATATAAAAATTGAATAATTTGAAATAAAAATAAAATAATATATTCTAGTTAATTAAATTTTAATTAATGTTAATTACAATTTATAATCCACTACTACTAATGTAATATTATTAGAAAAAGATTTTATTAGTTAATTGTAATGAAAATACCCAAAAAAAATTATTTAGCCGATTTTAAAAATTCTTTCACCTATAGAAAGCTACATAATCAACAAGTAACATGTGCTGTATTTTATTAAAAAAAAAACCGTGCCAATTCGGGACTATATTATATTTTTTTATACTTTATTCATTATTATATCAACATTCGTAAATGTACATAAAAAGTGGTGAAATTTAATCGACTCAAATACAGTTTTAATGCAATTTCAAAACGAGATTTCAGACTTACTTTTTTTGTAATTTTAATAAAACACACTCTCTGAAAAAAATATTATCAAATTCGTATTTCGTACGAATTTTCCTTGATTTTCTTTTTTCGCGAATTATGAAGTGATAAATATTTTATACGAATTAACGAAAAAAAATGTTCTAAATTAATATAATTAACAGGTAAATTAAATAAAAAATAACAAACTAACTCCACAGACCGTTGAACTGTGCATTTCTAATAGAATGCATTCACAAAACAAATACGAACTGGACAGAATTCGAAGATGGTGTATCTATTTAAATGCAGACAAAACTGGACGACCACTTGTCAAGATAACATTAATATTTATAAAGATATACATAAATTTAGTTTTAATTATACATAATACGTTTCTATTCCATGATGTTCCAACTTGTTTCACGACTCGACGATAAAAATTACACGGTGACACTTCTCACACTATATTAATCCGATTTTATATATGTTTCATGTAAATATTTGAATTAAAATGGCTATAATATCTGTTAAGGCATAAAATTAAAATAATATATGGCAGAAAATATTGGATTACTTAAAAATATATATAGTGATTTTGTATAGACGATGCCTACTTATCAATTCAATTGAAATACATTTTACATAATGATAACGTAAATAATTGATATTTCCAATAACCCCCGAATAAACTAATAAAGCAATTTATTATGGACACTAGGATTAATTCTAAGTCGTCTTTATTTATAAAAATAAAAATTCCAGTTGGTTACTGAATCGAAATTATCACTTTTAGAATTAGTACATTTTACTTCGTAACTGCTAAAAATGAATTATTTACAAAAAATTATAATTAACATCACTCGGGACGATATGTGGATTCTAACGATATCCAACACATTTAAATCTGTTTAGGCATTTAGAAATTATAATAGAATAAAGAAACTTACATATTAGAACTCTGCAAACATTACACAAAACTTTTTGAGTATTGTGAAAAAGAGATAGATTTACAAAACAGTTGTGTTTTCTATTAATACCTATTTTGCGCTATAATGTCTACTTTCAAACAATTCCAAAAAAGTAAGGGATTCTCGGTTCAATTCGATTTTTTTTTGTTACCTCATACTTCGTCATTTATAAACCTATTTAGGAAATTCATATTTATCTAACAAGATGTACTTTCAAATATAGTCCTATAAAAAATGTATCAAAATCACTTTAGTACTTACTTTTTAAGTATGTTTTTTATATCATTGAAATCGTTTTGTTTTTATGTAACACAATCTAAACTGTAAACCTATTTTTTTTAATTGAAAAAGTTTACTTTCAAGGCACATTTTGTTAAAATTTAGTCTTTTTTGTAGAAAATGTTGAGTCATTAGATTAAATATTGCTTGTTTTCCTTGTAAGATTTTTTTTTTCAAAGAAAACATATCTTAATGGCATCTAACGTCTGTTGTATATCTAAGGTAGTTACTAAGTAGGTAAAAAAATATGTTAATAGACTTGGAATCGTTTTGTCTCGTTAGATGTGACCTATTTATCATTTGGGTCTTCGTATTTCATATAAAAAATATGTGGTCCTGGCTGGAAGGGAGCCATATAGTATATTTGAAAAAAGAAAAATAATTTATTTGAATTTTATATATCATTCTAATATTTTTTCATTTAATATTTTATAACTATAATATTAATATGTAAATAAATATAAAAAATACTAGTGAAACTATAAAAGTAATATAATTTTGGAGTACGTCGTCTAATATGCATAACTAATTTTTAATTAATTATTTAAAACATCTTAAAACTTTTTCTAGTCAATTACTAATTATTCTAATAAAAGGAAATTGAATAATAAATATTATGTAATTGGTGTAATTCTGTGGCACTTGTTATTATCATATGATCCACACTAAGTATGGAGGGTATACTCCTGGTTGACCTGGGAAACATTGCTTTACCCCTGTCGCTAGCTTCCTATTTTAATTCTTTCTTATCGGCACAAAAATTCACTTAAATTCTGCTTTCTTTTCAGTTTAAATAGATAATGCATACTGTAAAATTTCATTAAATTAGAAATTAGTATAAACATTGTGGTAAGATGGTATGGGATTTTTTTTGGCATTTTTATATCTTTAGGAAAAACTTTCAGTTATAACATTCAAGTCTTCATAATAACCCTTCATTCCACGCACAACCACTCTTTGGAATCAACTTCCAGCAGCAGTATTTCCGAACCGATACGACAACATAATCTTCAAGAAAAGAGCATATTCCTTTTTAAAAAGGCCGGCAGCACACCTGCAATGCCGTTAGTGTTGTAGGTGATCATGGGCGGCGGTAGTCACTTACCACCAGGTAAGCCGCATGCTCGTTTGCCCCCTGTGTTGTAAAAAAAAAAATACCTACATATACATACCTTTGTAGCATACATATAAGGGTATGTATGTGTATATGTACATCTATATGTATACGTATATACGTACAATAATCAGTCGGACAACGCTTGACCGATTTTAATTTTGAATCACAAATGCTAATGGTTCCACTGAATGAGAAGTAGCAACCGTCGGCTGTAGACATGAACAGAACCGCGGACAACAAATACCTAATACTTTGTAAATGTCATTGAACACTCATTCGTAACAATTCTATAAAACTTAAAATATTATACTTCTGTCCTTTAATTACCCTGTAATTTTTATTGTCACATTCCAGGGGTGGTCGACTTGACTAGACCCAAGATTTACTATTTATTTATTTATTTTATTACAAGAAACATGGTAAGTGTACAGATGTTAACATAGGTGTAAGTTCTCATATTTCGCCATAATTAGACATGCAAAATATAAAAACTTAAAAAGAATAAATGTTAATTAAATAAGTCATTAAAATTATTAATAAATTACTGACGATACTCTGTGCGATCTACCAAATACATACTTTTTGAAATCTCAAATTAAACAACGTAGTTCAGTACACAATTATGTAGTATTGTAGTATTGTTTATATTATTGAGAACAAAAAACGTAACAATGAAAATTATTCTTAGTAAATACTTATTTATATTAGTGTGAGCATTGCGTCCGAGCATCTTCCGCTGGATTAGCAAAATATTATATTTTCCCTTGTCACGATCGACTGGACTACAAGTCACGATCGATCGGTCCATCGCGATCGACCGGTCGTATTCTATCCTTCAAACCAAAAAACAGACATGGGAGCTTACTTACTGATAACTTGTATGCAAAATGTAGTATCAAGATTAAAAAAGCATACTTTCACATTTATAATGAAAGGAACGTAGATAGATGACTCTCAAAAATTTGACATTTCTTTTATTCATTAAATCAAATATGTTTGCTTGTATTCTTTATTAATTTACATTCCCACATGTACATACATATATTCGAATTTACGTAAAGTAAAAGTGAAAGACAAGTAATAAACCAGAGAATTTAAACGGTGAAAAGGGTATCTTCAAGTTTTTGTTATAATAATTTGCCTTTTTCTTAGAATTCGCAACTTTGAGCTACGTAGCTCGCAAATCATAGCTTACCATTTCATACCATACTAAAATAAAAATAAAAACTTTTTTTTATACAACTTAGAATGGCAAACAAGCTGACGGCTCATTTGATGGAAAGTGGTAACCGTCGCCTATAGACATGAGCATGATACCATTCCATTATTCCTCTGTAAAACACCATATCCCACCAAAGTCATGCAAACACAACTGCTTCACGGTAAAACACGAATGGGACATAGGTTGACTTTTGTACAAAATAATAATAATAATAAAACTACCATACCATATTAACTGTTCCATTGCTGAACATATGCGTCCCCTATGAGGGGAGTTTTGCTAGTATTTACCCCGCTAAGCAGGCGCGTTGGCAACCGCAGTTAGGCTTTGGTAATGTTTTAAGAGGGACGCTGCTGCCCATCTTTTGATCAAACCATAGCTTAAATACTGTTAATTATAGTATAATAAAAATACAAAATACTTAAAATATATCAATTGCCAAATAAGTAAAATAAAAATAAATAAATAAATAAAATTGTAAAAAGAATCATCAAATTAGCTGAATTACTTTTAACGTATAGTAGTTGGGATCGAGGACGTCATAAATCATCTCACACATTAATATAGAAGGTTTAAAAGTAACATACACACAACAAATACACCCAAATACACATACGGGAGAGGGAAAGAGGAAGACTTTGTACAAAAGTCGATTGCTTGGGTACCTCTGTCCCATTCGTGTTTCAACAGTGAAGCAGTTGTGTTTGCATGGCTGTGTTTCGGTTTGAAGGGTGGGATATGGTGTGAATTTACTGGATACAGAGGAATAACCTAAGTCCTCAGGAATGGCAACGCATGAGGGGTATCATAGGCGAAACAGTATACTCTGTTATGTCCATGGTACTGCTTATGTCTATAGGCGACGGTTACCACTTTCCATCAGGTGGGCCGTCAGCTTGTTTGCCATTCTAAGTTGTATAAAAAAAACACGTATACCGTCGAATTT